TGCATTGTCAAGTGTAAGTTAGCTATGGGACTGAGTTGAACAAACATGAGGATGAGATTCTATGAGTTTGATTCTTAACTCATGAGTTGCCACTTGTATGAACTTGGATAAGTCAGTTACTCTCTCTCAGAGCCTTACTTTCTTCATCTATAGAATTTATCAGGTTGTCGTGAGTACCATGCTCTCTGTGCCCATGTTAGTTTCATCCTATGTAACCCCAGCCCCTCCCCAAAGCCCCAACATTCTTGACTGCAGGGTCACAGTTCATTTTCTGAGACTGCCTCGGTTCCCTAAGTGTGTTTCCCACCTCCCTGCTGAACTGGGCACTTCTGGAGGAGTTGGCTGAGTGTCCACTCACTTGTTCTTGAAGTCCTCCACCACATCCTGCATGTTCTTCAGCTCTGTCTCCAGCCTCACCCTCTCTCCACCCAAGCTGTCCAGCTGCCGCCTCAGATTGCTGATGTAGGCTTCGAACATGGGCTCGATGTTGGCCCTGGTGGTTTTATGCTCCTGCAGGAGGCTCCATTTGGTCTCTAGGACCTTGTTCTGCTGCTCCAGGAACCGCACCTGCCCCAGCCAGAGGTGAGAGACTGTGAGAGCTTCCTTACAGCAGCCTCCCAGGACCCTCACAACAGTGCAGGGGAGTGCTCTGCAAGGCCTCAGAGTCTAGGTAGCAGGCCCCTTCTTGTCATCCTCAGCCTGAAAGGAGCCTGGAATGTAGAGAGCCAAGCAAATGTAGGTACAATGGGCCTGGGACACAGGTGGTGGCTTGGTTTGGAGGTAGGAGAATCAAGGAGCACCAGAGGGGCTGAAAACTCTCTGACCACACCAAACCAGGCTGATGTGTGGTAAGAAAAGAACACTCCACCATCACATTACTGGGTAAATTTTTGATTCCCAATAATTAAGTAGGTAGGAGGTTCTTGGCAGAAAATTCAACCTGTGTATTTTCTTTCCGATATAATTTCTTGAGATCTGGAAGCCAGGCTCAGTTGCCCACATACTCCAGGCATGCTGGAATGGATCACTCTGAAATGGTGTGGAGGGGATCTGGGCCCCAGATCCCCAGCCATGTCCCTCTAGTTGTATGACCTTGAAAAGCCCCTTCCTCTCTCTGTTATCTCAGGTCCTCTGTGGTCTTGTGTTACAAATTAGGTTTTCTTGAATTGTACTTATCAGCCCCTCGGGCTGAAAAAAATATGCAACATTCTCCCTAAACAAAGTCCTTCCCTTGGGAGCAGATAGAATGACGACACATGGCCTCAGAGAATGAAGAAATAGCCTCCAAGACTTTGGAGATGGCAATGTGCCTGCAGAGGGTCTCTGACAAATGTACCTACCCCACCAGCTTTCTCTTCTTTTACCAGCGGAAGCAGGGCAGTCCTGGCTCCAAGTCCCCCCCCAGTTACAAACCTTTATTCCCCATCTAGGTCCCTCCAGATGAACCTAGGCAAAGCAGGGCCCGCATTCTCTCCCTCAGAGCCAGGCTCCTGGAAATCACACAGCTATTGAATTGAACACCAGCCCAAGTGGGGTACATGGGTGATAAAGGTGAAGAACTACTGCCTCAGTGGTTAGCTTTCACACTGGGTTTTAAGGATCTGGGTTCATATGGTGAGGCATTTCATAGACTGTTAGACCTGCAAAGGTGCCTTAGAGTCCATCTGTCCAACCCAACCAAAGCCTGAGAAGTTAGGGATTCTCTTAGATATAGAGCCAAACGTGGAACCGGCCTGGTTGCCTCTTAGGTTGCTTCTTGAGTTGTACTTATCAGCCCCTCATGCCTTCTTCCAGATCCTGGGTGTGGAGTCTGAATGACCCAGATATTTGAGTTGGTTCTTCCAGGTAAAAACAACCAGCTCGGTTGTGAACCAGTGGTATGATCCAAAACAGAATTATTTCTTTCCCCAAACTGGGAAATCCCTAGGATTCCAGGCCACACAGCAAAGGGAACCCAGGTACAAAGTCACAGCTCTTCTCTTTTTAGAAGAAAAGAGTGAAACACTTTGAGCAGCCTCTGGCCAACCAGCAGCTTCCCAGACATGACCAGATCACTAGAGAGGTCGCCACGGGAAGACTTGCTCCTATTAAACTGGGCAGGAAAGAGTGACCTCAGCCTGCTTCTGAAAACAGAACTTGTAACCTTTCTTTTCTTTATCCCCTTTTCTCCAAACCAATACCCTTTCAGTGTCTAATTTTAAGCATGTGACATGATCACTAACCATCAAAAGACAATGAATGTCCTTGCAATAGGTCAGAAAACTCTGGAGCCTGGAGGTGGGCATTTTTCCACTTCCACCTCAACAAAGTGGAAAACCACCCCCTCTTCCCCAGCAGTTTTCTCACTCCCCTGGATCACAGGTCTTGGGCAAGTCTCAGTTGACCTCAGAAAAGGCACAGAGAGCAGAGATCCCCCAGTGTTTCTGGTGGGCACCCCATTTGCTTCTCACCTTGTCGATGAAGGAGGCAAACTTGTTGTTGAGAGTCTTGATCTGCTCCTTCTCCTCCTTCCGCACTCGCTGGAGGGAGGGGTCAATCTCCAGGTGAAGTGGGGTCAGGAGGCTCTGGTTGACAGTGACCTCCTGGATACCTCCGGCTCCAGGCATCATCCCACCTCCAAATCCTCCTACCCTGTACCCTATGCCACCAAGACCCATCCCATAGCCAGCACCACCATAGCCCCGGCTGGAGCGGTAGCCTCCGCTGACGGAGATTCTCTTGCTGCCTCCAAGGCCATGGAGGCTCCTGGTCCCGAAGCCACCCCCGAAGCCACCCCCGAAGCCCTTCCCACCCTGGGTCACAGAGACAGAGCTGAAGCTGGACCGGCTGCCTGGGAGGAGATTCGCTGAGGATGCACTGAAGTTCCGATTGCCCCCTGACTTGATGGTGACAGAGGATCGCTGGGTCATGATGGAAGCTGGAGCCAGAGGGTCAGAGGAGTGAAAATGTCAAAAGGATGAGGAGGCTTCAGAGTCTAACTCTCCCAAAATCACGTTGTCTTTTATCCCTTTCAAGAACTGGGCTTGGCCAAAGAAGATCAAAGACCACTGTGTTGAGTTCATCTCGATGGCATGTCTGGCCACGGCCCATCTTCCTGCCCCACTAATCATTATGGGAACACCCTACCTAGGGCAGGACCAGGCCTGGGCATTCGAGCCCGGGGCAGGCCTGAGTCCTGAACCCCCCGTCTGCCCAGGTTCTCTGCCACATGCTGTAGACACTCCCACTCTAGCTCATCTGCTCCTCTCATCTTGCTTTCCAGGTCTTGGACTCTGAACCCAAATGCTTGATTATGCCCAGTTCTCAAAAGGGATAAAAGACAAGGAGATTTGGGAGAGTTAGACTCTGAAGCCTCCTCATCCTTTTGACATTTTCACTCCTCTGACCCTCTGGCTCCAGCTTCCATCATGACCCAGCGATCCTCTGTCACCATGGCCTTCCCATGGCCATGATCACTTATAAAGAAACCCCATTTATTAAAGATTCAACCCATGTGAGATCATGTGGCAGGTCAGTAGCCAGCACTGTGTCACTTGATCCTCATGATAACTTCGTGAGAGTGATGGCAATACAAAGTGCTAACATTTACTGGGCAGCTACTATGGGTAGGTATTTTACACTTGTCTACTCATTTAATCTATACACAGCACCCTGTGGTGGTTATTTCTGTTTTTGTTTTGCACATGAAGCAACTGAGGCACAGAGGAGTTAAGAAACTTGACAGACACATAGCTAGTAACGGCTGCACCGACGGGGGGCCCAGTGGTCTGATTGCTCCTCATAGCAATGGACAGAGAGGGCTTGTCAAAGAGAAGCAGATTCAGAATTTCACTCTGAATTCCTGTCCCCTCTACTCCTCTTGTCCTAGAACTTGCTCCTCCCCCACTCCACCAGGGATATTTAACAGTTGTTCTTAGTATCACTTCTCTCCTGCTTGCCATCCTCTCCCCTGCAACCCTTCCAAATTTTCCTTGATGAGAGGGGATCCAGGAGGCTGTAAACTCAGGAATGTGGGAGCTTCCTGGATGTCTTATTGCTGCAATTATGGGTCTAAATGTCTCCTCTGCTGGGTGAAAGCACTGCCCCAGGGCGGACTTTTAACTCCACTCCTGCCCTGTTATTTCTCTGCTCAGCTCTGCAAGTTTGAAGCTGTCAGGGAACAATGGCCCCTTTGCTGGCTGAGGGCTGGGCAGCCCACCCTACGTCAGTGTCCTGGAGGAAGTCTGGCTTTGGGAGGGGATGGCTTCACTCTACATGACACACGTAGTGAAGAGGTTGGATAGAGCCTCTTCCCAGAGGCTTGGGCTTCTTAAAGAAGGCATCCCAATGAGAGGTAGGAGGAAATGAGCAGAAGCCTGGGTGTGGAGTCTGCCCTCTTGTTCCTCCCATTTCTCCCCTGTCCAGCCTTTTTAGCTCTGGGCAGGAGGAGGAAAGGGAGGTTTGATGTGCTCTGAGTACTTCTTGTGTGAGTCCTTATGCTGGGAGGGGACCTGAGAAGGAGGAGCAGGAGGAGGAGGAGAATTGCTCTGTACTTGGGCACCATTCCAAACAGAGGACTGGACACCAAACGCATTACACATACCTTTAATTGACACATTCCGGGGAGGGGAGAGAGGGAGCCCTCACTCCCAGCAGACAGCTTATAAGCACCGTGAGACAACGGGATTGACAACCTGGCATTAAGATGCCCTGGGAGACACTGACTCCTCCATTTCTGTATCTGGAGGGAGAGTGGAAGGCAGGGCTGAAGGGGGAGTCTCTGCAAGACAAGCTGAATGTGAATCGTGAAAGTCTCTGTGCTTTGGCACAGAGAGGGCACCAGGAGCAGTCTGGGGACTATCAGGAGGGCAGAGGCTGGCTCAGGTTGGAAGATGGGGTTTAGCCATGATGCTAGTCTTCCTAGTAGTACAGGTGGGCCTTGTGAAGGAGAGCAGAAGAATGACCCAGGTCAGTGGGCAGATCTGATTTCAGGACAGAAGTGGGGAATGGGGCGACTGTACTTAGTGCTTATAGCTTTTTCGGCTGGAGGATGTGGTGGAGACAAACTTGACACTGGAGCCATTCCCCCCAGGGCCCCGGCTGCTACCAGCACTGAAGCTGGAGCCTCCCAGGCCCACACCCAAGCTGTGTCCACCGCTGGTGGTGAAGGAGTAGCCGCTGCCCCCACCAAGACCCATGCTTCCACCTCCGATGCCACTGCCACTGCCACTGCCATAGCCACTGGAAATTGTGGAGGTGACCACAGCTGCCAGAAGAGAAGAGACGTGGTCAGAATCAAGGGCAGGAGAGAAGATACCTGGGAACCTGGGGTGTCAGGGCCTGTGCCCTGTAGCTCCTGGGGAGGGGATGGTGTGGTCTTGTCAGGCAGCTGTTAGCCTTCTTTTAATTGCCACCCCCCCAGCATCACCTCCAACCCCAGGTGTGGTGAAGTCACTGTCATATGCCTGGTTGTCTGTGTGCTGCAGCTCTGGGCATTCTCCCAGTCTGCAGTGGCTTCCTGCCTCCCCTCTGCTACTCGGTGTCTTTCTTTTCCTTCCAGAACTTAATGCAGACTTCTCTCTTCTGGGAAGCTATTCCAGTCCACCTGTCTTCCCCTTTGATCCCACCACACTCTCCTCTGCTGCTCTGTCCCTGTCTCCCATCGTGGGCCTGACTCTTGTGTCTCCCTTCATCATGGGGGGCACCTATATGCTTCCCTTGGTGTTCCCCAGCCTCTGTGCTCTGAATCCCGGGGTGGGGGTGGGGACTGGAATATTCTTGGTAGACCAAGTGACAGATGACTCACTGGCAAGCCAACTTGGCCCCTATTCTCTCCCCAGTCTGCTCTTTTCCTAACTTTTATAACCAGCATTACCTTAAATATCTAGTATTCTACTTGGGCTCTGGAGAAGGAAAATTGAACCAAAAAATACTTGGTGCTACGGGATGAATTATGTCTGCCAAAAACATATGTTGAACCCCAGTATCTGCGAATGTGACCTTATTTGGAATAGGATCTTGCAGATATAATCAAGTTAAAAGAGAAGTCATTAGGGTGTGCTCTAATCCAGTATGACTAGTGTCCTTATAAGAAGAGAGACAATGTCCTTATGTGAAGACAAATCACGAAGAAAGGGCCATATGATCAAAGAGACAGAGAGTGAAGCAATGAGCCAAGGAGTGACAGCAGCCACCAGAAGCTACAAGAGGCAAGGGGAAATTCTCCCCTCCAGGTTTCACAGGGAGCATGGTCCTACTGGCACCTCAGTTTGGGATTTCCAGCCTGCTGAACTGTGAGAACAATAAGTTTCTGTTGTTTTAAGCCACAGAGTTTGCGTATGTTGTTGTGACAGCCCTGGGAAACCAACACAGACTTTCAGGTGCTTCCAAGAGAAAGGAAACTTCAGAGGTTGTGCTGTCCATTCCCAAGGATGCCTGAGTGGTTCAGAGGGCTCTGCCTTCTAGAACCATTGGCCAATATAATCAATTGCATTTGCTAATCCCACATCAAGAATACTAAACTCACTTGTGGAGTGTAAGTTGCAGAAGTCATTTCTGTTGGTCTCAAGATGCCAGCACTGAGCTCTGTGAGTGATTCCTTCTGCTCTTACTGGTGCAAGTCTGGGCCAGCTCGCTAACCTCTTCTGTTTTTTAGTAGCTGAACCCACATACAATGTCTTATGGGCTCTCATTGCCTTGAAAATCCTTGGTAACTCTGCACTTACGATCTGCATAGTTAGGCTAAGCAGTGGGGCTTCTTCCCAAACTGTCTGAATGGCAATGCCCTTGTGCTCCACATGAAGGCTCCCTTCAAAGAAGGAAGGCAGACCAGGAGTTTTCATAAAGTCTATCTACATCGAACACTCGTCTCTGAGCTAGACTTGCAGTCCCAGCAAGAATGATGTGAACTCCTGGGAGGTGGGTGTGTGGCCTGTGGGTCTTCCAAACTCAAGTGGAAGGAGTACAGCAAACCTCTCATCGCCCCCTCTGTGGCATCTCTCACTTGCAAAGAGGTAAGTATTGTGACATGGAAGACTCTCTCCTAACACAACACAGTCTCAAAACCTCAAACCTTCTCAAAACGAGCCCTTTTGGTGGGATCCCCTCCAATGCCTCATGCATGCCCACCACCTCCCCACCCCCCAACCACACACCCTCCAAATGGCACAAAGGATGTCATACTCACAGATGTTGACCGGAGAAACGCCCTCTCCACTCAGCCTGATTGAAAGGAGTGGGGAGAAGGAGGTTACTATCGTGTCCAGGGGCTTGTGGGAATTTGAAATAACATTTTTGTGATGGTTTTAAATGCATTAAAAAACCCTTTATTACTTTTATAGCAGAAAATCGGGAATGAAATTATTTAAATACTAGTATTATTAAAAATGACGATTTAATGAATGAAATAATGTGGAGTTTGAGGTTTATAGGAGTCAAATCTGTAATCCCAGAGACACATTTTTGGTTTAAACTAGGCAGACACCTCATGAAGATTAAAGCTAATCACACGCTGGTGTCAGTTGAAAAGGCAGCTCTTGTCATAGAACGAGGAGAGTTCTCTCTCAACAATGGATCATTGTCATGCCCTGGCCAGTGCTGAGGTTGTCATAGGTGTGGAGAGAAGTCTGAGACATAAACATAACACTGGCAATAAACAGTCTATCAACATGCTAGCAACCAGAGTGATTTTGTTTTTGAATCTTGAGAACAGAACTGGCATTCATTTACAAATACACACTTAGAACATTAAGAGAGCTAACAATTACTGGGTACCTGCTACCTGCATAATGCCACTTATTCTCTCAACAACCCCATTAAGTAGGCATTATTATCTCAGATTTATAGATGGAGAAATTGAAGCTCAGAGAGGTAATTAAGTCGCCCATGGTCACAAAGCTGGATTTGAAGCCAGAGTCATTTGGCACCAGAGCCCATGTCTTTGGCCAGTAAATTGAATGATAACTGTCATTAATGAGTACTTTTTGTATATCATGCACTGTGTGAAGAGCTTCATGTATAGTCCCTATATTGACCCTCTTAAAAACATATGAGCTAGAAACTATGGTTATCCTTGTTTGCAGGTGAGAACACCGAGGAATGGAAGAATTAAGTAATTTGCTCTGGGTCACACAGCTGGTAACTGGCAGAGCACAAAGCTCCCACTGATCTAGACCATGTGACCTAGCCTCTATTCTATCACTGAAGAAGTGAGGACCAGAGAAGGGATACTGACTTTCCTAAGGTAACACAGCCTATTAGTGGCAGGCATGTAAGCCTAAATCCTAGGACAATTTATTCTCAGTCCAGAGCCTTTCATGCTACATATCCAGCCCTGCCATGTAACCAAATTTCTCCTTGGACAGAACTTGATTCCTTGGACCTGATCAGGCTCTAGATTTCTATGGGGTGCTAAAAGTAGTTGTCCCTCAAATGTGGGAATCTGATAATGATTTACTAACCTGAAAAAAGTTGCACCTGTATTTTTTGTCATAACCCAATTCCACCTGCATTTTGTTCTCTTTTCCAGGAAAGGAGGGGCCTGCAGCAACCTGAGCCCCTAGGAATGGCCAGGCAGCTGGGATGGAGTTACCACCTCTACCCTTACCTGCTCTCCTCGCCCTCCAGCAGCTTCCTGTAGGTGGCGATCTCCACGTCCAGGGCCAGCTTGACGTTCATGAGCTCCTGATACTCACGCAGCAGCCGGGCCATGTCCTGCTTGGCCTTCTGCAGAGCCTCCTCCAGGTCCACCAGCTTGGCTCGTGCATCCTTGAGGGCCAGCTCTCCTCGCTGTTCTGCGTCAGCGATGGCTGTTTGCAGGCTGGAACACTGTGAGGAGAGGATAAGCCACGAGCCTTACCGGAAGCCCCTGGATGTGTGGTGCTTCTTGGTTGGAGTCCTGCGCACATGGCGGAATGACCCAGGAGAACTGAGTGTGCAGGGAGCTCTTGGCCCTGCCAAAACTTTACCTGCTTCTTCACGTTGTCAATCTCGCTTCTCAGCCTCTGGATCATCCGGTTCACCTCAGCGATCTCTTGTTTGGTGTTTCGGAGATCATCACCATGTCTGCCTGCTGTGACCTGCAGCTCCTCATACTGAAGGAGTCAGAGAAGAGCCAGTCATCTTGTCAAACGCCTGGGCTGGACACTGCCTGTGTGCCCAGCCTGGCCCCTCCATTCACTAATCACTCACACAAACCCTTGCCCATTTAGTCAGGTGATATTTCTTGAGTAAATCTAGTTGACAGGCATGTACCAGGTCCTGAGAATATCACAAAGAACATAGACCACCCCTGCTTACAATTTATTGGGGGAGATGGACATTAATCAAATCAGCATACTATTGAATATATAGTTCCAAACTTAAATAAGTGTCCCTTAGAAATTAACAGAGTACTACAGGAGTAAAATGAAGGAATCTGACCTAGATATGGAAGTGGGAGTGGGGGTCAGGGAAGTCCTTCCAGAGACAGAGATCCTGGGGCTGTGCTCTGAAGGATGGGAGGGAGCTAAGTGACTGGCTGGGCAGAGACCACCCCAGGCAGGAGAAACAGACAATGTGAGGACCCTGGGGAAGGAAAAAGCATGAGGAGCTCTAGGAATTAGAGGGTACTTGGTCACCCTCCTTGAGGGATTCCTGGTCACAGGACCTACATCCAGACCAATTGTGATCATGAACTTTGGTCACCCTGTAGACACCAGTGCTGGAGAAACAGGAGATGGTGTTGGTTGGAGCCAAGGCTGCAGAGGATCCAGTTCTGAAGACTTTGTAACAGAATAGCTTTCTACCTCATTTAGGTGCACAACCAGGACACACTCATTGTGGAGAGTGAATGGATCCTGTCTCCTCTAGCAGACTGAAGTGAAACCCACACCTTTCCCAATGAAAGAGGTCCCCTGCCTGAGTGAGTGAGTGGTGGGTTTTGAAAGTGCTGAGTAGCTCAGCTCCTCTGTTTCTAGAAACACACTGTTAAAGGGAACAATAGCGTTGCCAACAAAAGAAATTATCTGCTGTAAATTCCAACCACTGTACTTGGAGTGGTTAAGTGTATCCCACCTCCACTCACTGTCAAGGGGCTGCCTCTGCACTGTGCACCCCTGCCAGCTGACATGCTCTACCTTCCCACCACCTTGCAGTGGTAAGGACTAAGGCATGAATGCATGGAGCAGGGCAAGGGGCAGGAGCCAGCTTGCAGGTGAGCAGCTGTCCCTGAACAGCATCTGGATTTGGCAGGAGGATCATCTCATGGGTTGGACTATCCTGCCTACCACACCACCCCAAGGCCAGACCTCCTTCTGGCCATCTGCACTTTTGGACAGTACCTCTCTCTGGTTGTCCCTACCTTCCTCTTCCAGATACAAACTCTCTTGCTCAGCAAAGTGCTAATTTCCAACTTGTAGCCCTGAAGAACAGCTTGCTCAGCCTTGAACACCTCCCCCTCCTTGGCACTCTTGTTCCTCCCTGCTTCCCAGGTGGACTGAAAACCCACTGCTTTTTGGCAGCTTTTTGTTAATGTTGTCTTTTTCCCCTCCAAGAGCACCCATTCACTTTATGGCTTCCCAGACCTGGGGTTCTGCTTGCAGTTTATTTATTTACAACTCTGAAACCTGTTTGGCATATAGTAGGAGCTCTGTGAGCATGCACTGACTAAATAAGCCCTTTGGAAACAGCTTCATGACTGTTTCTTGGGTGTTTCACTGTCTCACCCAGCCCCTGCCCAGATCATAAGTGATGTGGGGATGGTGGGTGTCCTGAGTGCCTAACATCAGCTGACCACATAACAGTGTGTACAGTTGGGTCTCCTTACTTTTTAAGCTAAGTTTTCATAGGATCAAAGATGCTTCTGCCAAGTTGAAAGAGATGGACATGCTCGCATATTTAGCCAAAAGCTTATGGCTAATAGTTAGGTGATGATTTGGGGTTTCAGAGAATGCTAGTCCTGGACCCTATCATGGAGGTGCCCATACTCACCTTTGTCTGATACCAGGACTCAGCCTCAGCCCGGCTGCGGTTGGCAATGTCTTCGTACTGGGCCTTGACCTCGGCAATGATGCTGTTCAGGTCTAGGCTGCGGTTGTTGTCCATGGACAGCACCACGGATGTGTCACTGACCTGGGTCTGCATTTGGGACAGCTCCTGCAGAGCCAGTAAACTCAGTGTCATCAAGGCATAAGAAGAAGGGATCTTGAAATCATGTTGAGCACCTATCTAGGTCAGAAAGCACTTCTGTGGCATTCCTGGCAGGGAGTCTTTTGGCTCCTCCCTGGCTACTTCCAAGAGGTGTCTGGGTCATAGGCCAGTGTGATGGGATTCTGTCCCTTGTATCACTTCTCCAGAATCTCACTTGGGTGACTTCCTTGGATACAAAGGGTGGGTAAGTGTTCTCTGATCCAAGTTACATACAGTTAACTATGACATATGCTGAGTCATATGCTGGCATAAAAGATTTCTTTAGTATTGGATGATTTTTAGGACCCTCTGCCCTCTGCACAGGGCACAGGTGTCTCTACCCCTCCCTTCTTCTCTCTCCCTCCCCACAGGCCCAGGTCTCTGCTTTCAGAGTGGCAGTGCCCAGAATGAAGCATCTTCAGAGGGCAAGAAGCTAAAGCATAACTTACCTTCAGAATTTTACTGGGAGGGGGAATGGAGAGGTGGGTGTTGCTCCCTTCAGACCTGGGATTCAAGAACCAGCACTCCTTCCTTGATATACTATGGGATGGGGGGAATAAGCCTCACAGCTAGGGTAGGGTTTAGTATGGTGAGATTTCAAGTAGTTCTCCTGGTTTGCCTGACCTTCCAAACTCTAGCTTGAAGCATCTGGGGCACGATGCCCCATGGGAGCACTATGGGGATGGCATTCTCTGCAGCATTTTTTCTTTCCAGGGACCAGAACCAGGAGGGATAAAAACATCTGCAGGTCTTACTTCCTCATACAGCATCCGTAAGAAGTTGATCTCGTCGGTCAGACAGCTGACCTTGGCCTCCAGCTCCACCTTGTTCATGTAGGCAACATCCACATCCTGGAACAACAGCACAATATGCCCCTCTGAGACCCTGGCCACAGGTGGAAAGTCCTAGAGAAGCTTAGCAGACTCCTCTCTGGCCCTTCTAGGTTGGAGTTTAACAAGTCTGCACCTGGGGTTGGGAGGTGGGGGTAGGTGATTGCTGAGAACTGGAGGCTTGAGTTCCCTGGGCTAACGGCACCCCAAGCAGGGGCGGTGGGGCCATAAAGAAAGAGGGAGCATTTTGGCAGGTTTGAGCTCTCTACTTATTCTCCAGGTTGTGTGACATTTCTTGGGTGGCCCAAGGGCTGGGTCATCTCACACTCCAGGATTCAGTTTTGAATCTTCTCCTTTGAGAGACATTTCCACCCACCTTCTTCAGGCCCACAAACTCATTCTCAGAAGCCGTGCGCCTGTTAATTTCATCCTCGTACCTGTGAGCAGAGGAGAGGGGGTGTGCTGTTGAGCAAGGCTTTGGTGGGGCTCTTCCCAGGCTGTGGAGGAGTGTGCTGGGGCGGCGAGAATGCAGAGACCTTAAGACCCCTCCAGCTCTCCTGCTGACCTGTGTGTGACTTTGGGTGATTCACTTAACCTCTATTTCTCCCTCTATGAAAGGAGAATCATTTCTTCTGCCAGAAGTTTTTTTTTCCCCCTTATTTTTTCTTTAGTAAGACTAGAAAAGGAGCATGGAACTTGTGGAACTAGAAATAGGTGTTCAGCCAATTCCATCTCCTTAGAGATGTACAATTACAATCTTTAAAACCTTTTTCTGTCTCAAGTGCCTGCTGTAAACTTTGCACAGGGCATCATTCCTGGTAGATTTTGGTATATTTCACTGAACTTTGGGGCAGCCATTAGAGCAGTGCTTTTAGTAAGTAGGTGTGGTTCTACCTCAGAAATCAAGGGTAAGGCAGCTAATAGTTTAGGGGGGACCACTGTCTTCCACTGACTACATCACCTGCATAGAATACCTACACTGATTACTGCAGCCTGGATGATCTCCAGTCAAACTTTGCCTCCTCAAGGAGGACCAGATTGCCTCGCTTATACTCTAGTGTGTGTCCTGAAAATGGAAGCCATCTCAGTAACACAGCCCATACCCAGTGGAGTTAAATCATATGCTAACCTTGAAATAATATTATGCTTTCCAGAGTAACAATATTCTGTTAGGTGATATAGATATCCCTTTGTGGTTGTGTAGACAGTTAAGAACAGGCTTCTTGTTAATAATAATGCATGAGCTGAGGGTCCCTCTGTCCCCAACCCCAACCATGCTGTCTTCATTGGATGGGATAATGGCTGCAAGTTACAAATATCCCAGCTGATACTGGCATTTGCAACTTTGCACCTTGAGGATACTCGTGAAAAGGAACCCTGAGATGACTGTGTGTGACCAGCAGCCCATCTTCCACTTACCTGACTTTGAAATCTTCTACAACGTCTTGCATATTCCTGAGCTCAGCATCCAGCCTGCCCCTCTCAGTGGTGATGTTGTCCAGCTGCCGACGGAGGTCGTTGAGGTAGGCATCAAAGAAGGGCTCCAGGTTCTGCCTCACTGTCTTGGTACCTTGCTCCTGCAGGAGGCTCCACTTGGTCTCTAGGACCTTGTTCTGCTGCTCCAGGAATCGTACCTGGAGTGGAGAAGAAGAGAATGAAATCTTGAGAAACAGGGGAGACTTGAGAAATTAATTGGAGCCAGACATTCCAATTAATACGGGAAAGAAGAAAAGTACACTTTTGACCTGACACCCATATTTCAACTCTTTAGTTGACAGCTCCAAGTCAAGATGAGAAAGCCCTTGGGCAACCTCAAAGTTCTCAAGGGCTTCCATAGAACTAACATAGTGGGGTTCAGAGGCCTCTACAGGGAGCCTCGATTCTTGGGTGGATGGTCTCAATAATGCCTACTCTGGGTTAGGTCAGTTTGCTTAGTGGAAACCCCTCCTGTAGGGAACAGCTTAACTTTTCCTGGTTTTGACTGAACCAGACCAAATGTCTCCCAAGAAGGACAAGGAGAAATTTCCACAAGGTTCTCATTTGTAAATACCTCACCTCCTGGGAGGTACCTGTTAATCAGATGTGCTTTTCTAGGGAGGCTGTTGCATTGCTGCTTCCCCTCTGGGCTGGGCCTCTCCAAGAGGTCCTACCAGCCTAACCCAATGGCCCAGATGCAGCTCCCGGCTCACCTTGTCGATGAAGGAGGCGAACTTGTTGTTGAGGGTCTTGATCTGCTCCCTCTCTTCTTTCCGCACTCGCTGGATGGTAGGGTCAATTTGCAGGTTGAGGGGAGTCAGGAGACTCTGGTTGACAGTGACCTCTTGGATACCTCCAGGGGGACAGACAGGGAAGCCAGGGCCACCAAAGCTCCCTCCCACTCCACCACCCCCATAGCCAAATCCACTGCTGACCCCAAACCCACTGCTTGCCCTGCCACCAAAGCTACTTCGGAAGTTGCCACCACTTCCACTGACAGAGACCCGCTTGGTCCCCCCTAGGTTGTAGAGGCTGCGGCTTCCAAAGCTGGCCCCAGGGTCACTAATTCTTCTCAGGCCTCCACTGCCCCAAGTGGAGCGGGCCACGGAGGCTGAGCTAAAGCGGGGGCGACTGGAGGCTGAAGCAGTGCTGAAGCCCCTGCGGCTGCCCGTCTGAAAAGTGATGGTGGACTGTCTGGACATGGTGGCTGAGAAAGTGGGGCAAGAAGAACTTCAGAAGTTGGGGTGTGTAAAAGGGGATAGAGATGGCAGGGTATCTGGGGAGCCCCAGACCCCTGGGTTTTTATGTGCCTCCAGGAGGGGCGGGGCAATGCTAATGGAGGCTTCTGATGGCATCTCCTAGGCATTTGCCAACCGTGAGCTCACACTCAGCTTTCCTCTGGAAATGGTGCACGAGCCACTGGTTGCCTTCCTGGCAGCCTCGCCTCTCCCACGTGGAAACTCCTTTCCAGTCACAACTTGATCAGCAAATGAATGAGAAACACGTTAATTGCTTTCAGTCATGTTCTAATCATGCATCTTATAATGGACTCAGAAAACACTGCCTCATTTCTAAACCGTTTTCTTAGGCCTGGGACCGACTCCCTCCTGTCCAAACATCTTGTGTCAGTGTAAGTGACTGTGCTTTACTGTTTCCTGTTCTTTCCTATCCCTTAGCTGTGCTTCCCATGCCTGAGCATTTCCTCAGCTTTCATAGCCAAGTCCCCCTCCTCCCACGAAGCTGCCCCTCTGGATCTTGAAAATCCTGTTCTATACTCTCTCTCAGGAGTGCAACCAGTTTTGACTGCCCCTTTATTTTGCTCTTAAGCTTCCATCTCTGTAGTGCGGGTCACAGGATAATCTGGAGCATGAACGTGTGCATGCCCACATGTCCTGTCTACTCTAACATAATGTGACTCTGAAGACCAGGCCCTCTGTTTGCCATGGAGAGAAGCTATGAGAGCGGAGAGATAGGGTTGAATCTCGGGCCTGCCATAGACTCATTGTGAGACCTTGAGGCAGTCATGAACTTTTCTGTGCCTCAGTTTGGGTGTCTATAAAAATGGGATTGTGATGAGCATTCCTGTGTGAAAACAGCTTGTGCAATGTCTCAGCCATGTGAGTGCTGAGTAAATGTTTCTTGAGTCTTCCCTCCTTCTGATACTACCAAGCAAGAATGAACGAAGTGCCAGCAGTATGTCTATCCCGTGGCAAGTTCGAAAGGAGCACAATACACATTCTTTTTCTTTTATAATGGACTTGTTTTTCTGTTGGGAAGACAACACCGACGCCGATTAGGTAACTTATGACAAGGTGGTGGACATGAAAGAACTACTTCTCAGCTCCATTTGAGGCTGCCTTATTTCAGAAGTCTCCCAGACAGGCCACCCCTCCTACTGAGTGCCTGGGGTTCCCCGCCCTTTAATCCTTCATCAAAGCTACAGTAGTTGCACCAAGTAGAGGATTTTTTTCTTCTTTTCCCTGCTAACCTTGTTGACTGTTTCCTCCCTCTGCCATTTGTTTCTGTCTAAAACTGAAAAGTTTACAAGGCTCCTTGTTCCCTTTTTATCTGCCTCTCAACTTTCTGTCTCTACCCTGGGGGAGTCAGCAGAGGCATTGCTAGATTTTCTTTTATCTTGCTGACTTCTTGCTTCTTGCAGTGATTTTGAAGGATGGCAGAATGAGAGAGGAACTGAAATGCATTCAGTTTTCCTTTTGTGGATGAGGACACTGAGTTCCCAAATGGTAAATTAAGCAGATGGACATTGACGAGCTAGTGAGAAGCAGGGCCAAATTCCATGGCCTTGCCACACAGGTGCCCTTCCAGAGGCACATGGTAACTGAAGGGCTGGCAGACGCTCCCCTGCCTGGACTGGCAAGCTTGGCATTTGGGATGGCGATTCTCTGTTGTTTGAGTTATTTCCTCCTTGGAGCCAAGGCCAAGGGGTGGGCCTCTCCTCCATTGAGAGACTGTTTGAGAGTCTCAGTTTCCACAGGGAATCTATGAATCATCGCTTTTGTTGATACAGGCCAGGAGGAGCACAGGCATTCTCTCACCTGGTGGCCAATGCTCCCAAGTCCTCGCTGAGGTGGTGCGTGCATTTGGGGTGGAAAGAATAATCATCTTTGTTTTCTGTACTCCTTGCATGATAATCTTTCTCCCAGAAAAAAAGAACACTTGTTTTCTGAGCCATGCTGACTAAACCCTTCAGAACGCCCCATGAAACACAGGGTCAGGGCTCGGAGAGTGCCTTAGTTGGCACGTCTGTGGGAATGGGAATTGCTGCAGCTTTCTCCCATCAAGTTTCCCATGTGGAAACTGGCTTCATCTGTCTTTGCTCCTGGGTCCTTCCTTTCTTTCCCATATGTTCTCCCAGGAGTCCTTTTGCTTGGCATTGCCATCTCATACTTTCCCACTCTTATTTCTCTCAGTCATCACCTCTCGTCTGGAGTGACCCCTTCCTTCCTCCTCTGCCTCCTTCCTTTAATTTTTCCACCTAGATTGGTGTTTACAAAGCTAGACTGTCTTACTAACTTCTGCGAGATAGATGGAAATAGTAAATCTTTTACTTCTCTTACTCCTTCAATACCTCCTCTGTGAAATTTGACTTTCATTGTGACCTTTACCCTTGTGGATGATGTCTTCATGTATGCCTAGACCTGACAGCCTGTGTCGATACCACGTTTAAAAACTGAAAACTTAGAGAATAGGAACATTTTGTTTCATTCGTGCCAAGGAAGGTTTTTTGTTTTGATTTTAACCTCCATTATAATTCTGCTTAGACTTCACCCCCAAGAAGCTTTCTCAGATAAACTGCCCAGGCACTAACCCTTTTCCACCTGTTCCTTGAGAACACCTGTTCGGGGCTTGCACATCATTCACCTGCACTGGTTTTCTGGTGGTCTGAGTGTTAGTTTGCCTCAGAGGGCTAGGGGTGTTTCACAGGTGGAATTGTGGCAGAAGTTCACTTGACACAGGTTGTCTAATATTAAAAAAGAATTAAGTATTCCTTCCTGTTCTCCAAATCTCCTGAGTGTCTCCAACTTTGTACTTTTGAGCCTTTCTGGCATGAGTTTTCTCGAGGTTTTGGGGAGTGGTGGATTCAAGAGTGATGGTATGTGCTCTAGTGCCCAAGGCTGGGAGTGCCAAACTGATTTCTTTGTTCCCCGTCCATCATGCTCAGGGTGGTCTCTCCCATTCTCAGAGGGACCCTGGGGCCTTTAGCTGTGGTGGATTTCAAGGAGACTGGGGCAGGTGGCAAGTGGGGTTGTGGAGGTCAGCGGAGGAGGGTACACAGAAGAGCTTTGGCTTCTAACCATGTCAGGGCCAGAGGAGGGCAGGCTGGATGGGGATAGAGAGCATTAGGCAACCCCCATAGATCAGGCCACCTGCTTCACAGAGCCAAGGTTCCTAGATACAGTGTCTAAGGACCCAGATCCCAGCCACCCACCACCAATCCCTCCCAGAGGGCCTGCTATCTCAGAGAGTCCTGCCTATAGTTAATAAAATGCTTATTAGGAGCTACTATGTGCCAGTGTTCACTGTTCTAGGCACAGGCAATAGAGCAGTGAACAGGGCAGACAAAGCCCCTTCCCTTCTAGAGCTCACACTGGAAAGGAAAGGGCAGCAGAGGTCATTTAGAGGAGCAGTCACAGCCTGCCTCTCCCAGTTCACAAGTCCCAGCAGCTGAGTGCAGAGAAGATAGTTCCATGGTGATACCTGAGACTCTCGACCAGAAACACTTTTCAACCTTGACTATCTGTGTCAGGGTAGCAGACTTCCTCAATATTTGGTATCTCTAAGGTGCCACCAAGCCTGCCTCTAGGGGGCCAGACCTTCCACCTCACGGACCCCTTTGTTCCTGCATTCAGTGACAATATTGCTCCCCAAAGGGACTAACTGTGCCAGCTGATCTCAAGAAACCACCAAGGTTCAGGACTTGGGACATGTACTTCCACATGGCCAGACTTCACCTGGTCCGCTCTCTTTACTATAGACATAACTAGGCATTTCACATGGGCCCAAATTTGATGGACAAGTGCAGAACCTCAAGCAGGTGGGCAGGCAACCATTAAGTCCCCTTCTGTCAATTTTAGGAGCAAGATGGGATGCTCTTTTTCTTCAAATTTATGTTTAAGAGAAGCAACATGGAGCCACCCCTTCCTTCCATGGTCAAGCCCTTCAGACACATCCAACAGGTGTGCACATGCAAAGCATGGACACACATGTCTTAGGAACATTCACAAAACAATAGTTCACACATGAACGTGTTGCCAACTAGAAGCATGGGACAGAGAACTAAAGCAAAGGAGGGTGGGAGGTAGGGGTGGGTGGGGCAGGGGGAAGTGGTGGCAGGAAAATGGAGACAACTGTACTTGAACAACAGTAAAAAAAAGTAAAATAAATAAAGCAAAGGGTCAGGGTCAGTCTTTTAGAACCTGAAGGGGCCCTTAGAGATGAGGACACCAAGGGCAAGAACATACAGCCATTTGGTGGCCAGGGCAGAGCTCCTGATTCCTTTTGATGCCCAGATTTGCCCCAAGCCTTCCTCACATCATAGAGCTCAGGGAGAAAGTCTCCCCACTGCCTGGGAAGTGCAGTTGCGGCCCCTCCTGTAGGGAGAGAGTGGGTGCAATGCCAGCGTCTTCAGGGCCTCACATTGCTCCCCCAGAGAGAGTGACAGAAAGGATTTAGACAAGGGAAGATTCCAGATGCCTCTTGGTCATTCACCTCTGATCACTTAAGTGGCCTTATTGTTCCCTGCATTGGAGCATTTCACCAAGTCTGTCTGGTTGTTGTGCAGGAGCTGCCATACAAGGACACTGCTGGGAGAGGAAAGTGGGGGTGAAGTGGGGTGCCCCTGCAGCTCTACCTGGCAGTAAGTGGCATAACTGATCATAAGATTGAAGTTGAGGGCTTCAGATGAGCCTTGATCTCCCTATTGGCTCTGAGGCTCATACTTGGAACACACACAAAAGATTGTAGAACCCTGAACATGGGAGGAAAGGCTGGGGAGCTGGCTTGGTTTAACATTGCTCATGGATAAATCAGAGTGAAGCCATCCAAGAATGCTTAAGATGGGACTGTGTTTATCTACTTAGCACACACTTACCTTGTCTGAAAAGCTGTGTTTCTATCTGAGACATCTCAGTGATGCATCATTTACCAGTTTCCACAGGCAGAAGCTTAGGAATGTGGGGTT